TATTAGTTTGTAAGCTTCTTTATACGAGGTTTTTCGTTTCTAATAGTATTAAAACGATAAATTGCTTTAAAAATTATATAATTTGATTGGTTAATTGTCACAGATAATCACGGATAGATCTACAAAAATTAACCAATCATATGAATGTCCGCCCATGAAATTTCCATAACAAACTTTTTTTCTCAGAACTATCAGTTTGTTATAGTAAGAGTTAAATTTATATAAAAATTCATATTAATCTGATTTTATTTTAATCTGTCACTATGTTGATTTTGTGAATAAAATTAAATTTGTCAGTCATCTAGTTATCTAATTTGAAATAAACTTTTTTTATTTTGCAGAACTCAATAGAATCTACAAAATAAACAAAGTTCATTAAAATTGAATAATTAGATAGCTAGTAAATTTAATTTTTATTTACAAAATCAAAATAGTCTCAGATCGTTATTTTCTAGTAAAGATCCTATTTATGGTTATATAATAAAATCTATACTCACTATAATCATGTGACATAACTATTACTATATAACTACTCCAGCAGCAAAACATATATTTTTGATACATCTGCATCTACTTTTTTGATACACCCAGATGTACCCAAATTTTTTTATATTTTTTAATAACCAAACATTCAAATTATATGATATATATAGTACAGATGTATGATTTACATATTATATATATATCAGTAAGATAAAATAAAAAATAAATATATATAATAAAATTTAATATATGTATCACATATTATGAAAATAAACAAATAAATAGTAATTTGATCAACTTAAATTTTTTAAGTATAGTTAACATGAGTTTATAAATTTAAAGTAAAAAATAAAATATAATAAACTTTACTTTCAAATGTGATCTTTTCATATTTTATTCATTTATAAAAATGTTCAAAGACTAAATTATCTATAATGATGATTAGTTTCAGTTTTTTTTTGAACAGATAGCAGAGTGGTATTTACTACAGCATCTAATTATAAAAATACATATTTAAAGTTTCAAAGCTGCTTAAAAACAAAACAATTAATTTGTAATGAGTTAATTCAGCTTTATCATATAGATAATGCTGTTGATTTTACAGAATGGGTGGCTTCTGAAATGCAAAAGTCAACAAACCATATTGATGATATTTTAAAACCTAATAATAAAAGTCAAAAATATGTCAACCAAATTTAAGCCAGCTTTAAAAAAGATAAGCTGTGTTGGTTATGGTTTATATATTGTGCTGATGATGGAAAAACTTGTTAACATCAATGTGGTGGTATAAGAGAATATATATCAGGATATTCAAATTTTAATTTACCTAACAATCTAAATAATGGAAATAACATGCACCATTGTTCAGTTAGGATTATATATACCACTGAAATAGATTTTTATTAGAGCAATTTAGAATTTTTTATATACAATAGCAAATCTAATTTAGATAGTTATATTTTTTATAATTTTATCTTTTCAAAAAAAGTGTCAAACAATTTTATCTTTTAAGTAAAATAGATTAAAAACAATTTTGTCTTCAAATTTTAATTTCATACTCTGAAACCTAAATTAATTTCATCAGTATGTATAGTTAGGATTCATTCTTTTCACGATTATTATATTTTAAATCAGATCATCAACTTTGTATCAAAATTGAAAACCACATTATCTTTCTAATATAGTAAATATTAGTGTTTCACAGATTACAAGAATTAATTTAACACACCAAGTTTAAGACCAAATCATTATTAACTGATGTGCTAATCATTAAACAACAAAGACTATAAAAGAAAATTATTATATTCATTAAATAGCACGAATAAGAAAGATTTACATGAAGCATTACTAAATAGTAGAGAGATTTGTAACAATAAGAAATTAGAGAGATTTATTATTCATGAAAATAGGAGATTAAAAGATTATACAGGTTCATAGATGATTCTTTATTATTTTGTTGAAGAAATCTTAAAACCTAAAGGTTATGTTTTATATTATTAGCAGCCAGATTTATCTAAATCAAAAACTTTTGCTGAACATTACTATTAATTAACAGTGTCTGATAAATTTTGGTTGCAAAATAAAAGAGATTTTGGGCAGCTTTGTATTGATGTTGATGAAAAATACGATCTTAATATCAACTGTGCTTCAATATTAACTATAGTTATTAAAAATAATGCTAAACATAGAACTTCATTAGCATTCAGTATATTTATTTATTTATTTTTTTATTTACTTATTTATTTATTGATTTTTTATTTTTTTATCCAAATAATTAATTTTATACTATATTATTTAATAATTACAGAGTTGAGTAATAAAGAAAACAATTGGTTGATATGATTGGCAATTAATATTATTAAACAAAATATACACTGTAATAAACCTTTATATAAGCATTCATAGTATTATGAAAATCTTTCAAATAACAATGAGTTTAAGAGAATTCACAACTGTAATATCAATCAAGAGTGGAATCCCTATACAATAATTGATAAACATCAACCTACTAAGCTTAGAGTTAAAGAATTTATATGTAGAACTATACTTTGCTGGTTCCATATTATACAAATATTTGGTAATAACCTGAAAGAATAGAATATTCCTCATTTATTATAGTTATTTTAATTTATTTATTTTTTTATTTATTTTATTTTATTTTATTTTATTTATTTTTTTATTTATTTTGTTTATTTTTTTAAAATTTTTTTTTTTGGTGTTCAGATGAGATCTTGCCTATGACTTTATTTATTGTTAATACTTTTATTATATATATTACTACATTTTCGTATTTACATATATTAAGTACACCAAGCTCAGACTTGGATCTTATTGGTTATCTATGCTCTGGCTGAAACCATCACTTGCGCAATAAGTGTTCCCATCTGCTATTTGGCTACTAATCCATTATCTGTGATTCAAACCTACTAGAGCAGTATATCTTTATAAATAGTACTCACCTAGTATTTTTCTACCCTTCACTAGTTCTATTTTGGTATACTTCCCTATGACATTATTCACTGCATCTCTTATACTATTTATATTTAAGCTTTCAAATTTGGTAGTCCCTTCTAAGATATAGCCTCATAGCCTCATAAGCTACTTTTAATCTTGGTTATCTTCAGCTAGTCTGCCCAGGTAGTATCACGAAAAAGAATTTATGCTGGCTCAACAGGAGGAACTGTTCAATGTTATACAAAGTTCATGTATTGTCACATGTTAATCAGCCAATCAAAACATAGGCTTTAAAAGATAGAAAATACCAAATCGAAGCAAAATTAGGATTGCAATAAATTTAAAGATTAAAATAAATGTATTATATTTTCTGTGAAGTAGATAAGCATATCATTATTTTGTTTATTTAATAACTAATTGACGAGTTTACATCGAATTATCGTTATCTATCTAATAACTAATTGCGAATTATCTAATAATCTTTCGTATATCATTTAGAAATCTACAACTCAGGTGTCAGTCATGATCTTTTTAACAACCTTTTATCATTTAAAATTCTTTTATCGTTTAAAATTTGAAGTAGTGGTCTCTCTATTACAGTAATATAACAGTTGTTCTAATAAAAGTTTCAAAGTTTTATACATATACATATTTTCTATTCTATCTTATAAAAAATATAAAAAACAGGTATAAAAAAAGAGATATAGTTAGTTAAGTTTTTAAAAACTTTTTATAAAACATATAGAAAAAAAATCGTATAAGTTAATATTCAAACCCATGCTACTTTATTAAATCATGCTTCTAACTTTTTTTATTGCTCAACGTCTGGAATTTGTAGTTTAGTGTTTTATAAATTACTTACTTGCTTATACAACTTTGAAGGGTAATTCATCATATAAAAGTTGGTGAATTCAAGTGAATTCAACCAATATTATTAAAATACGATGTGAAAAGTTTCAGGTTTGACTTTGGACTTATTTATGTTCATAAGGAGAATTGGCTATACAAGCCTTGTGAAAAAGTACTTTAAAATGTATAAATTATGAGGTTAATTAATTGTGTAACATATTTCTATTTTTAGGTACGGTTCCTCCTGTTTGCTGGCCTAGGTTAAGCCTCATCATTAACGCTTAGTTTAGTTAATATGCTGTTAATTCTCATTACCTTATGGATAGATACTCCTATATATTAGTGCAGGTTCATTGTATTGTGTTATAGGTTAGGAGAGAGACAGAAATCAGCTAATTTTTTAGAGGAGTGGGAGTTTGTAATTTGATCAGATCCTATATTTTGTAGTTAAATTTAATTAGCTAATATTTGAATCAGGTGAGGGGTGGGGTATAGCCTCTTAGTAACTTGAAATCATCTTATTTCTGTTCCTCTCCTTACTCTATAACTTCCAAATTGTGGGTTTCATATTATTTCTTGTCTATAGTTTGAGCTATGGTGTTCTAGTGCTCTGATATTTTAGATTACAAGGTGCTAAAGGTTTAGACCTAGTTGTGACTTGCAGTCTGTAATACTTCCAATTTTAGTATTTAGTATTCCTTGTCAATTTCTGATATATAAGCTTAATTTGTATAATTGTACTACCAGCCTGGTGAATCCAGCCATTTCGAGTTTTTATCATGTATCTGAGTTTTAGCCTTCTCACTCTATCCTCACAGGTTTTTTCCTTAATAGGCAAAGTGGCTTGTGGCTAGAGATGCTTCTGAACTTTGAATGGACCAATCCTTTATCACAAATTATTCTTATGATCACTACTTTTCTCACTACTTCAGTTTTATTACTGTCGTATCACTCTCTCAATTAAGTACTCCAACCGCTAGGGATGTTGGTCTGCATCAGTTATCTCTAATCGAGGACTAACATGTGTAATCTTTGTATAACAGAACCTTCTATGATCTGTTATATATAATGCCACTATGATTAGACCTCCTTCCAGAAATTTTTTTTTTCAGTTTCGTACTTGCATTTGGACTTAACTACAGAACTCCATGTTCGATTATGGCACTTTATTGGGTTATAGAAGCTAAAAATCCTAAGATTTTGTCTCCAGCCTGACTCAAACTATCGACCTAGTCTGTAGAGATTTGGTAGCTTAACCACTAAACTATAGAGCCCAAACCTATGTTTATTTTTTTAATGTATATTTACTAATACAAAATTAATTTAAATATAAGATATATCATTACATTAGGATTCAAGCTAGTAAGTCAATGCTATATTGAGGAAAAGGCTTTTGAAATAGCAGGTTATTACAAGAAATTTATTGTAACACTTCCTCTTATTCAAGAGCAAAATCTTTATTAATTGAGAATTTGAACAAAAATTGGATATGTGATGAATAGAGATTACAGTTTATTAATACAGGGTGACTTGTAACTTTAAATAATGCAAGTTTAATGACCACCAATAATTATACGAAAAGAATAAATTATACAATTAAATCTCAATTATCAGGCAGACAAATAGTGTCATATTCATTGAGCGGCTTTATGATTAAAATTATTATGTGAAATTTAAATAAAAAAAAATAGGACAAGTAGTAATTGGACCTGGGTGGGTGACTATCTGGATCATCTGTTCACCCACAGATGACCCAGGTGGTATTGTGGCAACCTGGGTGAAAATGGATGAGTCACCCAATAGGTCACCCAAAAGGTTACTCAGTAAGTTACTCAACAAGTCATCTGTGGGGTTACAGCTATTATCATAGACACTTATAAATAATTTAGGATTCTAAACCAGATTGAAGATTTTTACCTGTGACCTGTCAAGTCAAATGCTTTTATTAACCAAATATCTGAAATAAAACAGAATACTAATTACAGCCATTATTAATATTTCTAAATGATTATTAATTTGGTATTATCAAAATAGTCTAAAGGCAGATACATAATAAGCTTTAAATTGATTACTAATCGATTTGTAAATTAAAACTCACATAAAATATATAAAATACTACAAGGCTTAAACAACCTCTACTTACAGTGCAGCAAGGCAATTATTAAACAATTTCAAATATATGATGTGTTGAAGACTTCTGTTATTTGTAAAAAAAACTACATCTACTAAGCTTAAATAATATAAAATATTTAAGACCTTAATGAAAAAAGAAAAGCCTAACTGATGTTTGTGTGTTATAATAAAGATGAAACTAGTTAGAATATTAAAATAGAGATCTTGTAATATTTTATATGTTTCACATTAGTTTTAATTTACAAAATCAATTAGTGACTATC